GCTCACTTCATCAAATTGAAGCGTATGTGTTAAATATGTTGCCCAGTGGGAGGGGGAAATGAGAGCTCCCCAACTGTAAATCATCCAACTAAGAGGACACAATTACATCAAAAAGAAGATTCATTTATTTAAATGAATTTTAGATTTTCCAGTCGATTGATTAGACCGAAGTGCTCGCTCTCACGTTGACAGGTCAGCTTCTTGTACAGATGCTTCGGCGATGTCTGGGCATGTGTTTAATTAGAATTCAATTGGTGGGTGGTGACTAGCGGTGGATTCCAGTGGTCTAATCGATAACGCTTTAGCGTTTGAAACGATATGCAACGGGGTCGAGCCTCGGTGGGAACATCACCACTCGCTGACTGGGAAATGCACGTACATCCAGCTAATTGGCGAATCTCGCATACAACAGAATGCACATCCTGGATTCCACTGCTAGTCACTATCCATCCACCAATTAGAAAATTCATTTATTTAACTTTATACCTAACTCCATGAGATAAGATAATATTCACACGTGTATCTGAAGCATTTTTGCTAATATTACTTCTCACTATTTATGTATGTATGAGCAGTAACTGATAATCAATAATTATAATTGATTTTTAATTGGAAATCTAAATTATTATCATTATTATTACTCATGCATTCTAACTACTGTGACCTACTATTCATGTTTATATTTGGAAAGGTGAACATGTTTTCGGTATGTACATGAGAATAAGGTTGAAATTGTGATATTTCACAGTGAACTTGTATGTCATTCTATGTGTATTGAGTGGGATTTGTATTTTTTCCAGTCGTTTTATGGAAAGGAATAAATCACACGCGTCAACCTTTTGATTATAATGATGCGTAGACTAAGTGGTCCACGGGAGGCACAAACACGAGATAGGCTTTAGACAAGGAAGAGGGTGTATTGAACATGTCTTCACTCTTTGATAGATTCTGAATTATAGGCATACTTACCGTTGGCGTCCAACAATCACTATATTTCTTTACCTAAAGACGGCATTCGATTCTGTCGACCGAGAGGTACTCTAGCGATGCTTGGCTGTAAAAGGAATGCCGAGAAAATGCATCACCTACTGATCAAGGCACTCACTCTACTCGAACTCATGCAGCCAGGTGAGAGCTTACGGCGACTTGTCATCTGAACTGGTGACAACTATTGGTGTCCTACAGCGAAGGATGCCCACTATCTCTATATCCATTCAATTTCATCATGGTTTTACTTATGGACTTAACCCTAAGTGACTTCAGCGACTCAGGGGTTGACTTGTCACCACCAGGGGATAATCTCGTTGACTTAGAATATGCAGATGACATAATCCTCCTTCCTGGGTGAAGGCGCTGATAAAATAGAGCAGAGTCTTCTGAATGCCTTGAGTTGCAATCTGCTAATGTTTGGAATGCGATTCACTCTATTTGTCAAATGTAAGATGATGCTACAGGAATGACTGGACTACATTAACTCACTTCTAGCTTAGAAATAGGGAGTGAAGTGGTTGGTGGGGTGTGTTGACCACTTCACTTATTTGGAAAATTGCATCAGCCAACGCCAACGGGCCGATCTCTGACGAGATCTCAGCACGGATACAGAGGACTAGTTTCGCATATGCGCCAGTTTACGCCATCTCTGGCTAAGTAGACGTGATATCCGGCTGGCTGTCGACTAGAGGGCGTGTGTGGTGCTGAGCAGTATTCTCCGTCCTCCTCTATGGCTGGCTATGAGACCTGGCCATTGAGAGTCGAGGACATGAAAAGGCTAGCTGTGACCGTCTCTGATCATAGGTGCCTGCTCTCTATCTCCCGTGATAAATGGTGGCATAATAGATGTTGTGAACTTTTCTTATAATACGTATCTAATCATATTCATGTCTCTACCGCTATTAACACTCTTTCTTCCCTTTATACGTTTAAGCCATTCTGGCTTCATTGTAAAATGAATAAAGCCTAAATTCTTGGTTCATTCATCTTTTCAAGATTCAAGCATCACTCATCGTTCTAAGACTCAGTCACCTTCGTAACAATAGGTTGAGCAATACTGAGGTTAGGCATCGGTTGAGTGCTAGGTAAGGAGGGAAATCAATCGACGAAGCTGTGAAGTTACATCGACTGAGATGGTTGGGACATTTGTTATGCATGTCTACCCATCGCCTTCTTCGAAAATGGTCAGTGTTAGCTGACATAGGGTCAGGCTGGAAAAGAGCTAGCGACGGCCAAACCAAGACATGGCACCAGTCAAAGAAATCTACAACAGTTAGTTTAAGCCACGTAGGAAGGTGTAGACTTCCTAGCTGGTTGGGGTCCTCGGGACGGTAAAAACCAATGGTTGGAAACTATTGGTGACATACCTCAAAATCGTTCTGAATGGCTGGCGCAGATGCATCCACTCCTTGTGACTTATAATTTCCAATGAAACTATATTGTTCTTCGTCGTTACTATTCTTTTTGTCTCATATCCCTGTCTACTGTCTCTGTTATGCATTTCTTCTACTTTCTTCTCTTCCTTTGTATGCTACATGGAGGGACTGTGGCGATTTGAACTGGTGCACATATGTGGAGAGTTCTATGTCGAAAGCAGACAGACAGACAGACTTTAGATAATGGTAACTTGGTCTTAATGCAGAGTATTTCAATATCATCTTTGAGTAGAATAAATGTAAGCGTAAACTGTGAGGTAACGAGGGCAAGTCAATCAATGAGGTTATGTAGCTGCATTGATGAATATGGCTATGTGACTGGCTGGATAAAACCTAAAAATTTGTCTCGATGGATACCAGTTCCAGTTGCCACTATACCTCGATCCAGGACACAAAGCAAGGGAAGAGAGTAAAGAGAGATTTATACGGAGATATGAGGCAAAAAGAATAGAAGCAATATGGAAGAACAATATAGTTTTATTGAATGCATCTACGCCAGCCATTGAGAACGATGAACATGAGCCGTATCATCGATAATTGTCACCAGCCGTCGTTGGTTCTTACCATCCTGATGACACACAATCTATACCTCCTTACGTGGCTGACTGGCTGGCTTAAATTAACTGTTGTGGATTTCGTTGACCGTTGAAGCCATGTTCTGGCTTGACCACCGCTAACTCTTTTCCAACGTGATCCATCCTATGTCAGCAGCTAACATTACCCGTCGAGGAAGGCGATCGATGACTAGGCATGCATGCATAACACATGTCCTAACCATCTCAGTCGATGAAGCTTCACAGCCTCATCAAATGATTTTCCCTCTCAACTACCGAGCACTCGACGCCTAACCTCAATATTACTCACCCTATTATACCACTTCACACGGGATGTGAATAGAACGCAGGGACACCTATGATCAAAGACAACTAGCTAGCCTTTTGATGTCTTCCACTTCCAATGGCCATGTCTTACATTCAGAAAAAAAGGAGGATGGAGCGGACTGCTGATCAGTACATACACCCTTCGATCGACAGCCAGCTGAATATCACGTCAACAGAAACTCCATGACAGCCTATTTGGCTCGCGTTCTATGTGATAAGGATGGTGTCAAACATGAAACGTTTAGTTTCCTGTGAAATTGGTAAAATAATTGGCTCTTTCATCCCCTCCTATTTGTAATTTATGGTGGCACTATTTCGATGGACTTATCATTGTAGCTTTTAAAATTATTAATAATTACTATAATTATTTCACACTTTTTGTACATTTATAACTTTAATGTCACTGCAAATACCAAGAAAGCTGCTATTATGAATTCTGTAATATTGTTTAGTTATTATTATTATTTTTTTTTGGTGTTGCTGAGTAAACTGGATGTAGCGCTGAACTTAATGCTGGGAATTCCACACTGTATCATATTGTCATTATTATTATTGTTTCCTTTTGTTCCTAGAGGAACATAGGGCTTCAGCCGCACGTCTCTATTGCGTTTGGTTCTCTGCCAACGTTTTCATCACCTGGCTACGCGTCTGCCCACATGTTTTCATCTCCTCTTCACATCACCTCCTCCATGTTTCATCCTCGCACTAACGACCAGTTCTACGCTTCCCGTTCCACTCAAGCAATGGCCTACCTAGTGATGTCACTTGATGATGGTTTGTCTTCTCAGAGTATGGCCAATCCACCTCCATTTCTTCCTGCATATTTCTTGCACAATCAGTTCCTTCTGGGTTGGTTCTCTCCCAGAGATCCCTGTTGTTGATCTTTTCTGGCCGGCAATCTTATCTTGAGTAGTATTGAGCGAAGACAGTTGTTGATGAAGGTCTGTAATTTGTCTGAGGTGCTCTTCATGACGCACCAAGTCTTTGACCCATAAAGTAGCACTGACTTCACATTGGAGTTGAAAATCCTGATCTTATTTTCATTTTCATGCTGAGTAGTGTTGTTGACCTCCACACAGACTTGAGAATAATGAAGGCTTGCCTTGCTTTCCAGATCCTCACTGCTTTGATATCCCCATCATTTCTGTCATCTTGTAGTTGAAACGATGCTTCACAGATAGGTGGGTAGGTGAAGGAGGTTGCTTCTTTCAGATTTCTCCTATTTTTACTGATTTTTGTCTGTTGTTGTGGCTGTTGGTGTCGGCCAGGCATCGTCATCACCACTGTTTTCTCCATGTTCACCTGAAGTCCTATCTTTGATACTTATCTGTCGCCAACTTGTTGCTTTTCACTTGGATATCTTCCAGTTTGTCGGAAATCAGACATACATCATCATCGGCAAAGTCCAGATGCTCCAAGTTTCCTCTGTAAGTTCATTTTATGCCTGTCTCCTCGTTGCCAGCCGGTTGTCTGTCTGTTGCACTGCCCAGTCAACCACCCACAATCAGGAAAATGATTGGAGTATCTTATCACTATATCATAACTGTACTGTTTCGGAATAAAGAAAATCACTAAATAATATAATGATTATTATTATTATTACAGTATTGAATTCTGAACCTTCAGAGGATCCTTCAATGATATCAATTAATGTTTTTTTCTCTCATCTATATCGGTTTCTTTTTCTCCATAGGTTTGACGAATAATCGTAGAGTTGTCGATGGATTGATGAATAATTTAGAATATTCCACTAAAAAACTAAATCTTCTACATAATGAATATTGTTTAGCTTTGTTGACGGCTAATCATTATCAGCAATGGTTATATACACATTTACGTCCATGTCTGCTGAAAGGTGTTGAGCGGACAATGCAATTAGCCTCAGAAGTTGTGTAAGTTATGTGTATTTATCTGCATGTGTCTTTGTGTGTGTTCTCATTTAATTTTGATTTTTTTTGTCTTTCGCTTTCCAATTTATTACTTTTGTAATGCCAGAAGACAAAGGCCAGACTACAGATTGTTTATTGAGAAAATCAACAGATATTTATCGATTTTTATGTCAGCGGGGAAACAGCGTCTTCTGATTGGTTGTTTTCTTGTTGAAGGTTATTCTGTACTGCTTGTGACTGCTTCTCAGAAAGTTTAGCCATATATCTGCGAATCGTATTTGCACACGTTCAGTCTTCTGTGATTGGTTGGTGACTTCCTCATGATTAAGCTTTGTTATTGCTTTTCTTCGCATGACCTCGATTGGGGACGTGAACATTGACGTAAATTGTTGTCTACAATTTTGGCTTGTTCGCAGCCATCTCTCACCACACTCTGACAATTTGTCAGAGAACCGAGTGGTGATTATACATAATGGTATCTTTCAGCGTTATGTAATTAGATGGAAGAGAGGATGAAAACATCCAGTTACCAGGCAGGGCAAGGATAGACTGATAATTGCTTCTTTCTGAACGCATAAATCGTGTTTCAGGCCAATGGTGGAAGTTACTTCGGCAAACCTGGAGAGAACTGAACTATTTTGCCTATCGGTAATTTTGAAGGACTGTGCAACGTCCATATCATGACCCGTTTCAAGGAGATACCTCACAATGACACTGTTGAAAGCATTTGTTCCCTTGAGATATAGACTTTTTGCTACATGTTCAGAAAATCTCAGATATACCCTTCTCTCTGTTCTTCCAATGTAACTGTACCCACAAATACATGTAAATTTGTATACACAGTTGGAATTAACATGAGAAGGGTATCTGTTGACTTTTGATTACATCAATGAGCATGTTGTTTTAACATAACATAACATAACATAACATAACAATTTCGCTTTATTCCAGAAACAGTACTTGTGGTACAGTGTGGAATTTTCAGCACATATCTACAATATTGCATCTAATTTCATCGTACATTTAAAAGGAGTATTATAAAAAAAAAATAAAATATATATAAAAAAAACAACAAAAAACCAAAAAAAAAGAAACACAGAAATAACAAAAAATGCAAATAAAAATACCAAGTAAAAAGGAAGATAAACACAAACAATGAAAAAAAAAATATTTCAGTATTGGTTAGTGGAAGCTACGGTATGTGTATGCGTGGTGAACAGTAACAGCTATAATCATACGGGAAATTATGAGATGTTCTTAAAAAATGTTTATAGCCAAGATGATCAGTTAATTTGATTGAACAACACTAAGCAATCATAAGATAAACATTTCAGGTTTTTTTTTTTGTCAGTACTAATGCGGTTTGTTTGTAGTGGCAGTGTGAGGAATCATGCATAATACAAAATTTTTAAGATGGTGATAGTGGCAATAACAAACAAGATTGTCAGTTAAATAGTGCCGAACAAAGAACAACCACAAAACTAATGTTACATGATGGTTAATGACGGGACAATTTTTAATAATCATAGTGATAATATAGTCGGACCCAGTAGATGTACAAAGAAGGAATAGAATAAAGAATAAAAATGTAAGCCAATGATAATAATTTTAAGCAGCTAAGTATGTTTAAGAAGGTTGTTCACTATAGAGTACAAATAAGAGAGTGTAAGGGGGAAAAAAACAAGGGCCAAAATTATGTTATTAACAACAAAGCAAGTCATAGGTTTCACGCCTAACATTGTCTCTGTCACTTAGAACACGGGCCAAATATGGTATCGTTGAGTTCCTATACTTGGTTGTGCGAGCATATATTATTTTATACTGATTTCTGGTTCTACCTGATGAGATGCAAGGAGAGAGTTGGGAATAGAGGGGGTGTTGGGGGTCAGAGAGTATGGTTTTAGACCATTTCTCACATGTATTCAGATGCTTATCCACTAATGTTGTGACGAGCTGACTGAGTTTTACACCGCTAGTCCTGCTAACTACCTTCAACATCCTTCTCAGGATGGTATAATCCTTTTTCAGTAACCCAGGAAAGACTAACGGGGAACAGTAAAGTAGAATAGGTAGGATACGAGAGTTGACAAATTGTGTAAGCAGAGGTTGAGGGACTCCAGTTAGTCTGAGTTTCTTAATGTAGTAGGTTAGACGAAACACTTTCTTGGAAATCATTTGGATATGAGATGACCAAGTAAGGTCGGAAGATATAACTAATCCGAGGTATTTTGCATTAGACTTTGTTTCAATTATAGTCCCCTCAATTCTACAGACATCATGAGTGCTTACTAGTGTTTGTAGATCTCGTTTATGCCTAAAGGAGAAGTCGACAGTCTGGCATTTTGAGGGATTCAGCGTTAGGCCATTTATTTTAGACCACTGACTGATGTCCGACAGGAAGCTATTTAATTTGAAGCAGTCTGACTGAGACTTAACGGGAAGCGAAACAGTCAGGTCATCTGCATATTTGACGAAGTTGATTTCGTCTGAGAGAGGTAAGTCATGTAAGAAGAAGGAAAAGAGAAACGGCGAGAGAACAGCACCCTGAGGAACACCAGCTTCAGTAAGCAAAGGAGAGGAAGCTACACCATTATATACCGTGTACTGCATCCTATTGGAGAAGTAAGAGTGCAGCCAGTTGATAGCCCAGGACTCAGTTTGTGTAAGGCTAAGCTTGTTTAACAAAAGGCCTCTAGGTACAGAGTCAAAAGCAGATGTGTAATCAAGGAAAGTACAACGGACATACTTGGCCCCTTTGTCTAAGGAGGATACAATGTTGTGATGGAACACGGCAGCAGCATCCAAAGTACTTCTACCCTGTTTGTAAGCAAACTGCTTTGGATCATTTGAGAAGCTTAGGGAGGGAATGAGTTTTTGTAAAAGTAATTTCTCCATCAGTTCGATAGACGGGAACTAGATGAGCTGCAGAATAGACTCTGGCTGGTGACATCCTCAATCTTCTGTTGACAATGGCTGTAATATTTCCACCTTTAAAATCAAGTTTTATTATTTTGTTGATTATAGCTTGATTCCACACTGTATTTTTGTTACAAGTATGGAATTTTCAGCAGGTGATATCGGTAGCCCAAATTTTGCAGGCCCACCATTGATATCAGGAGTGGGTCGGCGGGGGATCGAACCTCAGACCATGTGCATGGTCGGCGAGAGTCCTAACCGCTGTGCCACCGACGTCCCAAGTTGAATGAAAACTGGCACTTTTCCTATTGTGATTTATTTCAGATTTGAGCCTTCAGATGGTACCATTTTATTCTGCGAAAACTGTTGTTCTTGCTTCGTTAAAAATTTGATTACCTCTCCTCCCAGTTCTATTTATCTTAAACTTTCATCATTTTTCATACGATATCACATTTCACTACGAGTAATGTACACGAGTGTGCCATATTTGTAGAATCATTTCTCTTTGACTTCATTCTGATTTCTTCTGAAGAAGTACATCTATTGACTGAGAACATTCATAAACAGATTGTACTCTCTGCTATTTGGTGGACATTTGAACACTGGCCTAGCTCCGCGCATGTGATTCGACAGTCTCCCTGCGCGTGTTTCCAAATCAATCTTTATTTTCTTCGCCAGATTCTTTGAAAAATAGACATTCTGACTTGATTCGTTCCCACAGCTTCTTGTTGCTAATTCTTTCTTGCCGACTGGCCATTCGATCTTCATTATGTAGCCAGCCAGCGAAGTGGGCAGCTGTTGAGGAAATTATAAATCACCCTATTTGATAGTCATGCTGGTGACATGCTGACCAAGTTTCTGACTCATATAGAAGACGTGATTTCCTAAACATTAGTGCTGCAAATCAGAATTTTGTTCTTCATGTTGTGTGTAAGTGCAGCAGATTTCCAAACTGGATTTCAGATTGATGATGGAATTTGGCATTTTGGAACTGCTGGACATCATGATAAGGTTCTATTTCGCCTATTCCGATTCTGGAGTAGTAATATGACGTAGTATAATAGGTATCAACAGTGTTGTTCCCTTATTTGGTGGTAAGATTATATAGTTGAAAATCCGGTTCAGCATGAAAAATAAGATCCGGATTTTCAACTACAGCTGTCTTCGTTCAATACTCAAGATCAGATGGCTGGCCAGAAAACATCAGCAACAGAGCGGGATCTCTGGCAATGAACGAACCAACCTAGCAGGAACCAATTGTGCAAGAAATGTGCAGGAAGAAATTGAGGTGGATTAGCCATACTTTGAGAAGAGAAGCTATCAAGTGAGTGACATCACACACCAGGTCATCGCTGCAGTGGAACCCGAGTGGGAAGCGGCGAGTTGTTTGTCAGTGTGATGGTGACTTGGAGGAGGTGATGTGAAGAGGAGATATTTTTCTCCCCCTCTCTCTCTCTGTCTCCAACCTCCCCACGCTGTTTGTTCCCACTTTCCATACCTCCGGTGTAGGTGTAGCATCATTAAGATCGCAAGTGTACTATGTTGAATCGGTAAATGAAGCTTCAGTGAGTAACTTCTCCCACTCTCTACCTAACTATATCACGTTTTAATACTTTCACCCTGTCTCACGCATTCTATTTTATGCTGATTACGTGCCAGTGAATGCAATGCAGTGCAATGGCTGACCTCCATTTTTTCTAGGTTATTTCATCGAACAGGGTCAATCATTCTAGGTGTAGCTAAATTTTTATGTTTCAATGATCTAATCGAATTGACCCCGATCTACTACTAGTTTGACTGACCTATGTAATTGACCTTACTAACAGTCATTACGTCGTGATATATAGTAAATTATTTAATTTTTCTCAATGGGATCTTTTGTGTCCTTGAACCGACAAAGTTGATCTCTGAGAGAGCCAGTTGGTTGGTTGGTTGGTTAGTTGGTTTAAATGACAATCCTGATTCTGTCCTGATTGAAAATCCTGCTTTAAGGCGTCTGATGTTCCTTCTTTATACGGAGGCAGCACTACAGACGCTTCTATATTATTTTCGCCATTTTTATTGCTAATCTTAGTTTTTCTATGGTT